ACTGCAATTTTCATGATTTAAAAGAGATAACAGGGCATTAATAGTTAAGAGCACACCATTAAAACAGGGGGGCTTCGGTTTCTTGCAACCAATTTTTCGAAGGTGCATAAATATGTCAAGGGCCTTTTGTAGTATTTCAATCCCATGGGGGTTGCTGTTACTCATGTTAATCAGTAGGACACGAAATGTGGATGCGGCACTGTTTCTTTGTGTGTTACTAGCAATATTATTTTCGTAAATGATTTCGTTATCAAATAAACTATTTGTCTTTGAAAATATGTACCGTACTGTATTCAATTATTGACCACATATATCTAGGCCTTAGTACTTTGAACTTGAGGTTAAGTATTTTAATTTCCTAATGGTGTCAATTGAAGCATTTAATATCACAATACTACATTTCACACCATAAGGCAACTAATTAAGTAAAAAAGCGCCAAAACTACTAGAAACGTATTCTGCGCATGCACAGGCCCAAGAGACGAGAGACATGTCTGTCCAAACACCGACCGGTTGGTTCGCTCGAGACACGCGTCTGTGACACGAGTCACAGGCAACATGTCTGCGACACTGGTGTGTATGCTCCATAAGTTAACATAGGTTGGTTTTCAAGGGGCATGTCGCAGGCACGAAAAATATCTGCGACATCATGTCGGAGATACTGGTGTGTATCCCGCCTTAAAATAAAGTTTCCTGCACTAGTTCACGTTACGCTCTTTCCAATGACACCAAAAACATGTCAATCGGTTTAGTAGTTTTGGAGGTTTAATTGTCAGAAAAAACCTGTTTGCGTATTAAATAAGTACTAAGTACTAGTGTCCCTGTTGCTCGAATTCGAGCAATTGCTAAGAAGTATTACATGTGTTATTTTTAAACGAATAATAGTCATAATTTCTGATGACTTTAAAAAGATTTGACTCAAAGATTATTTGTAGCAAACTGTTAAAAAATTAGCAAACTTATTGACGGTTCACAATTCACAAAAACTGCTTACGTATTAAATAAGTATAGATCGATATAGATATAGATATATAAATAGATTAGCATAATTCCGTTGGAAAATAGAATTAAAAAAAACGTTTGCAAAACCAAAACTAACAGCTCTTTCCTCACTTCAGTTGTTCATTTTTAACAACTTCAACTGGTTTTCCAGCAACAAATACACTTAACTCACCTGAATTTTTAATCCATAGTTGTGATAACATACTATCTCGAGGAAAACGAAACATTTTAAGACCTTTTAACTTTGCCGAGCTGTTAAAACAGTTTCTGTACGAGCACGTTGTTCTTGACATAATGAATAGAAGAATGAAAATACTAAAATAAAAAATACATACTCTAACTTACTACATATATACAAAAACACACAAATTAATTGAATATATATCACAGTAAAATAACGGTATCACAAAATAACTTTTACGGTACTGATATGTTTAAACCCGGCAACAAGGCTTAAAATTCAACAACACGCGTGCGTGGTGTAGGTGTACTCAGTAGTGTCGGGTAGGTCAGTTTAGTGCGGCCGCACTTCTTGATTTTTCGGCGAGGAACGGAGAAAGAAGCAGAGGCGCTATCACAGCGTAGTGAGGTCATCACCTCACCTCTCCTCATATCCCCTGTCTCTCCTCTGCCCCCCTACCAAGCGTGGTGTGCAGTGCTAGCAGCGCTCCTAGATGTTGACGGGCAAACTACGCTGTCCTAGCGCAGCACGTTGCCGCCATCAGTAAGATATCTGTAGTAGGGGTTATATTATCTGTGGTATGACCCAGCTACCCTCCAGGTAACCAGCAGTAAGCGAGTAAGCGACCAGCCAGGCTACCAGCTACCTGCCCTGCTCCACTGTGTTTTTACCCTAAAGTTTAAACCAAAGCATTGTAGGTCTACTAGTAAATAGTTGCCTAATTCTAAAATGTGTTTTTTAGTAATAATGTTACATGTTTTAAAATAGTTTTTAGATTGTACACCTATGCACCTCTAGTAAATAATAGGAGAAGATATAATACATATAATAAAACGGAACAGGGTTATTTTAATTCACGATTCTTAATCAACGACTTGGCGGATTTTCCTGATTTGAGTGTTGGGTTTCCTTTATATTGTTTTTATAATCGAGTGTATACCAAGCCATTGCTCGGTTCCCCATTCCCCGGTACTGAGCTACTCAATAGACAATAGCTTTGTTTTTAGATAAGATCAGGTAGCCTAATTTTAGCTATATCCACCATTCATAAAACTGGTAACAAACAAGAACGCCTGGCAGTGGCGGTTCCAAGGGGGGGGGGGGCTTACGGGGGCTAAAGCCCCCCCTTGGACCCTGGAAAAATAAATTTAAACGTACATTTCGCCCTTAAAACACGCAATGTCATAAAACAGACATCAATGTAGATTTTATTAAACTTAATAAGCGATGGCAGGAGTAGTATTAAGTTCCACATAGATCAACTTTGTGGACAATAGCACCGCAAATAAAACAATATTACGCAATGGAAAGTTAGTTATACAGAGGTGGCTGTGGTTTGGTTATACGCATCATCCAATTTTTACAGCAGTCAGCTGTTGACATGCTAGGGCAAAGGCGAGCGCCGAGCTCGAGCAAGGACCATACAAGGACGGGAAAACAACTGATTTCCTGATGTTCCATAGTTGTCAAATTGTCTGCTAGCCACTAACTTTACACAGGCCACAGGCATCAATCAGCAATCAGCGGTAGCACCAGTAGCCTTATACCATTTACTATATTAACACTAATGTAAAAGTTTAGTATAGTCAATGCTATTACCGGTACTGAATTCGATACTATACATATTGTGACAGATCTATGAAATGGACTGTAGAAAAACATAAGTTTAAAAAACGTATCTACTTGCTTGCATGACATATAAAAAGCATATAATAGGTGAAATGGAAGGTTTTAGGATAATTATTGAGCACAGTTCTAGCCGTTAGAAATGGCCATTTAAAAGTGACCAAACGGCTTATTTTTAGGAGATATGGCTTCGTAGTCTACAGTAGGCCTATGTTTTGAAATTCATGAATGCAAGTTCGTCTACTTACTTGCTCATGACAAAGACAAATAACAGGTGAAATGGCAGGTTTTTGGACAGTTGGACACAAATATACATCAATAACGGCTTTAGAAAGTCAGTAAACAGCCTTTTGAACGATATTGCCGTAGCCTACAATATGTTTTGAGATTTATGAATGCAATCGTCATAGTTTGTTTTAAAAATGTCTACTTATTCATGAAAAATAAAAATGGGGAAATGGGAGGTTTTGCACACAGTTCTAGACGTTAAAACTGGCTGTAGAAAGTCACCCAACGGCTTTTTTTTAGGAGGATATGGCCGTAGTCTACAGTGTTTTGAAATTCATGAATGCAATATACAATCGCCACAGTTTAATTTTTAAAATGTCTATTTGCTCATGACAAACAACAGGTGAAATGCGGAGTTTATGGACAATTAGGCAAGGTTTTAGGTGTTAAAAATGGCTTTAGAAAGTCACCAAACGGCTTTGAAAATTCCAAATTTTCCCGGGGGAGAACCCCCCAATGCTCCACCCACAGTCCACACCCTCCAAGCCCCCCGGTGGCCCACCCTTGACAAGGTCCTAGAACCGCCACTGACGCCTGGGTCCATTTAGAACCATAAAAACTCAAAACTTTTAAAAAGTAGGCCTACTGAAAGACGTAAAATTAATATTGATTAAACAAAATTAAGAGGATGACACGGGTTGTACACTACAGTAGGCCTAATAGCCTACGATAATACAAATTTGCAATTTGTATCTATGCATAGACAAATTTTGTATGCAATCCATTAATACATTAGGCCTACCACTTTACAATGTATTGATCAATATTTATTTAAATTCAATAGCTCTATTATTAAATAAATTACCACTGCAATGCATTTCTGTAATGACGTTTAACGTGTAAATTTTATCATGATTTATGATTAAAGGTTACGAGCCCAGTATATAAAATACGAACTTAATAATTTTATTGCAGAAGTTAACAAAATGGTATTTATTCGAATAAAAGAAACAAATGGTGGACTACGAAAATAGATATTTTATAACATGTATAATATCCTAATTAAATGTACAGTATTATCATTTTGCATCCCAATAAACTACTATTTAAGTAAGAAAACCACATATAAAACATACTCCCTTATATTAGTACATTTCTCATAGTAGTTATGTCCGGTGCACTGTCTTTAGAGGTCGTGTTTTGTTTACAATTGTTTCTTGTTTTCAGTAATTTAAAACCTCGTTTAACCAAATAAAACGTTTTAATCACAACTTATAACACGTACCCTATTTATATAACCGAACAGTAAAGAACAAATCATGAAGTTAACTATAAAATAATAGAAACACAATTTCGTCGACACTAGCGATCAGTGTCACCGGACATGAATTAGACATGAAAAACGAACTTCAAAGTTTACAATAGGATGTAAAGTTTACTTGTGTTGGTTAGTCTATGGTAAGACTATAATGCATTTTCTACCCTAATAACCATAAGAATAGTATTAAAATACTTCTAAATATATTTATTTTATCGGCTACGTTGCTCTTACTCCTAATTATTCGTAGGATACGACATTATGGTACCGATACGATATAGGTACTACACTTTCGGCAACACTGGCCAAAAATCTTCGTGCTTGGCTCCCATTGGACGGCCCGCGAGGCTTCTGATTGGGAGTTAGCGAGTTCCGCCGAGGGACCGAGTTAGCGACATCCGTACGAGGACAGAATTCGCTAACCCGGCTCTAGAGCGGGTTAGCGGGTTACGGAGTTAGCCAATTCCGAAACCGAACAAGTTAGCGAGTTCCTCCCATCGACCAAATTTGAAGATAGGGCGTTTAACATGGGGTTAGCGAGTTCCAGAGTTAGCCAATTCCGCGGACCCCTCGGATTAAAACCTAAACTGAGTTTAGGTTGGGTAGTTAAGCATTAAATGTTAAGCAAATGTATTTAAAACTGACCTTGTCTTCTGGAGGACAGTTGAAGAGATGGACGAAAGTTTGCTGTAAATTTCTGGCAAACCTCGGCGCAAACACATCTTTCTCGGTGCCAAACAGATGACGGGATTGGCGCACTATTGAATCAATCACATACAGCCCTGGTACTTTGTACTCGGGCTTGCACTGAAACATAAAATACATATCAGTGTAAAAACTTCAAACTAAACTATTTAGCTTGATCCGCCAATCAGAATTTTGCCGTCACCGTTGTTTGACGTGAGGCTACTGAGAAAACTCTAAAATGTAAAAAATAGAAGATAAAATGTTGAATACATTTGCACAACGAGGCCAACCACTATCGTCAATTTTTCATACCATGGAAGCTCAAGAAACTTTGCTAGTGGATTAGGATGTTTAAGAACACCAAGGTTTGATGTTGCCAATGGTAGTTGTGAAGGCACCACTATCAGTTGTCACTGTCTCGCCTAAGGGTACGTACATAATGCTGGTTTTCTGAGTCAGACTGTCGGCGCCGATTAAGTCAGACTCGGCGCGCTTATTGACCCATGCTAGTAAACGTAAGGGGCCATAGTGCACACAGGTAGTCTGACTCAGATTTTACTGGAATGAATTGTTCATTCTGGTTTCAGACAACCTGCCTGACGGATTGTAATTTTTGTTTACGTATTAATCGCTTAAGTGGTTTCCATTGTAAAGTGCATAGTATTTATTTTTTAACTATAGCAGCATTGTACCAAAAATTTGGTCATATTGTCTTTCAAAAAAAAAAAAAAAAAAACAATCTAACTATGTACTATGTATTTATTTACCTCAAGGTTGGATCAGGGTTGTCAGCAGGATCTATAAACGAAATTCACACATTTTTCCCGGTTTTCCCGGCTAAAAAGTACGGAATTCCCGGCGATAAGAACGGCACAACACAAGTTACACTTATCAGTAAATTTAAAAAAAAAGCCAAATTGCCCAAGGGACTACGTAAGCCCCGACCGATGAAACGGTGAACACTTCGTGACACATAATTAATTAGTGACGCACTGATGGTCGGGCGGGTAAGGGGTAGCGCGGTGGGTCATTATGGGTGCCATTTTGATAACATCCACTCATAACACTATATTTGGCTAATAATTTGTTCAGAATTATCAGAGGTTATAAACTCTATTACCTTAAACATTAATTGGTCAAGCTAGTACAGTAGACTAGTCATTTGATCAGTTTCAAACTCAAATAAAGGCCACTTTTTACTTGTGTGTAATAATTGTTTAATAATGCTTATAAAAGGTTACTATAAAGTTGTATTACAGAGCATTCAATTTGAAACAAGCTGCACATCGATCGAAACGCGTGCCAATCGATGATGGATTATGAAAGAAGTTGCTGAGGTTTGTGCCGATGTAATAATAATAATAATAATAATAATAATATCTTTATTGCCCTGAAACAAATATAAAATTGCATGGCATCCGTCAACATTTAATACAGGCATAACAAGCAACAGCAAAACAAATAAATACAACAGCATAAAACAATTAATAATACAAATTATTAAAAAATTACACAGAACTTGTCATTTGATTGATTGAGAACCTCAGAGCAGCCAAACACCATCTACTCATTTGTGTCAAAAAACTCACCCACAGTGTAATATTCTTTATTAATCAGATATCTTTTCAAAATCCTTTTGAACCGTTTTTCGTTCCTTTCTTTCCTTATTTGTTCAGGAAGACTATTCAAAAATCTCACCCCCGTCTGAGAGGGCAAGCTTGATGCTGCACGGGACCTGTTTTGGGCCAACCTATATTGTTCTCTGCCTCTAGTTGAATACGAGTGAATGTCCTGGCCTTGTGTTAGGCTGCATTTAAATTTGGAAAACGTGGCAGCTTCCAAGATATACAGAGAGGCAAGAGTAAGCAGGCCTAGCTCCCTGAAGACGGCCCTACAAGACTCTCTCACCTGTAGTTTAGCCACTATTCTGAGTGCTCTCTTTTGAAGACGGAACAACCTGTGGAAGTCCGCTTCTGCACATCCACCCCAAATTGCAATTCCATAAGAAAGATGGGGGTAAATAAGGCCAAAGTAGGCCATTAGCAAGACATTTTCTGGACAAAATTTTAAGAGGACTCTTAAGGCAAAACAGCCTGAAGATACCCTCGTGCAGACGTTGTCAAGGTGGTTACTCCAAGTGAGCCCCCGGTCAATGGTGATGCCCAGAAACTTAAAAGAATTGACTTGTTCAATTTGTGAGTCATCAATCATGACCGTTAAAGTCTCACTTGGTTCACCGTGCCTGTAAAAACGGATGAAATTTGTTTTTTGAGAATTTATTTTCAAATTGATGTTTTCAAAAAATTGAACACATGAATTTAGATCTACAAAAGTTTTGATTTCTAGATTTGGAAGATTGTTGGCACTGCAACAGAGAGTCGTATCATCAGCATACTGAACCAATTCGCTAGATCCAGATGCTGAAGACAGATCGTTAACGTAAATTAAAAATAAAATTGGACCAAGAATGGATCCCTGCGGGACACCATACTTTAACAGAGCTGGTTTGGAAAGATGATTTGAGACCTGCACCTGTTGAGTTCTGTTTGAAAGGTAAGATTTTATCCAATGCAACGGAACACCTCGAACACCGTAGTGTTCTAATTTTGACAAGAGGATACTGTGGTCGACGCAGTCAAAAGCCTTGGTAAGATCTAGAAAGACACTGAGTGTCGGGTGATGCTTGTCCAGATTCTCAATTACCTTACTGACAAGGCTATGCACTGCATCCACTGAACATTTCCCCCTTCTGAACCCGAATTGATCAAATGAAAAAATGTTGTGATGATTGAGGAATGCTAACAACTGAATCAAGAACAGTTTTTCAAAGATTTTGCTAAACACAGGCAAGAGAGAGATAGGACGGTAGTTGTTGGCATTGAGTGGGTCCCCCTTTTTAAAGATTGGAATAATTTTTGCCCTTTTCAGATCTTCAGGGAAACACCCACTCTTGAAAGATGCATTGACTGCTTCCGTCAATGGACGTAATATATGCTCAGACAGTTGCTTGAGAAGCCACACAGACATGCCATCGACATCTGTTGATCTCTTCGACGGTAGTTGATTTATGACAGTTGCAACTTCCTCCTCTGTTACGGGGAAAAGTCCCATAGACATAATGGGACTATCACCTATCATTGGCTGCATATTTCCCAAGGATGTCACATTTGAAATTGCTACTTGGGAAAAATAATCATTAAGGTAGTTTGCCACATTCGAAGGTTCTGTGACTACCCCACTGTTTATTCTTACATGAATAGGTTTTTCAGTTTTCTGGCCTTTTATATTGTTGATCACACCCCATGCTGATTTTGAGATATTGTCACTAGCTTTTAATTTTTTTCTAATTTCATAGGATTTCGCTGCTCTAATTAGTTTTCTGTAAATTCTTTTGTAATTTTTAAAAAATATTTTGAAATTTGCATCTCTTGTTGCTTAGCCGTAATATAGTGTTGCTTTAGTTTTTCTCTAGATACCAAAATACCTTTAGTTATCCAAGAAACATTTTGAGATTTTATTTTTATTTTCATCTTTCTTTTTGGACAGTTTGAGTCAAGGTGATATCTAAAGCTGTACATGAAATGTTGAAAAACATCAGTTGATTTGGTTTGTGATAAATAGTTCCATTGCTCATTTTTTAAACAGGCTTTAAATGATTTAATTGTTGAGGGGTTGACAGTCCTTCCCTCATAAACCGAGGAGGGAGTATTTGCTGGAGAACAATCATTGATATATATCTGCTGCGCATCATGGTCTGAGATGGCTGTAGTAACAACTGATGTTACCAAATTTTCACAGTTTGAGATTACATTGTCAATGGCACTAGACGAGGTTGCAGTTACACGTGTGGGTGAGTTTATGCGCCATTGCAAACCAAAAGACTCTAAAAGGTCTCTCAGCTGTTTAGTCTCAGGAAGAGAGGCGTCTAGTACATTGATATTGAAGTCACCAGCAACTTCAATATCAAGGTCAATTGACAAGAAGTAAACAATTGCCGAACATTTTGCGAACGGCTAGTAGACAGTAGTACACAAATACGTTAAAATGTTACAAACTATTTTCAAATTATTATAACCTAAAAAAAACAATAAGATAAGATAAAAATATAAACTTGATGCTATTCGAAGTCAATAGTAAAGGTAGGTCATAACCTCACATTGAGCACAACTATCTCAAAAAGGCCACACTAAAAAAAAAACAGGCCGTAATGCTCGTCAAGCATGACGTCACCATAGAAGACGGCAATGACGTAATTAGGTTATATTTTTGTTTTCCATGATAAGATTAAAACAAGCAGCTGATCACAAACGGCAAAAATACGTCATTGCCGTCTTCCAGGGGCGGACTGGCCCGCCGGCCCACCGGCCGGAGGGCCGATGCGCCTTCTCAACATTCCAATATTTGCGCCCTCGTTAAAGGAAAAATTCATAAAAAAATTTTTAAAAATGAGACGAGATGTATTTTTTTGAAAGCAAGAGGAAAAACTTAGAGTTAAAGTTTCAGCAGTGAATAGCAAAACATAAAGTCGGATGTGAGACCTGAATAGACACTGTCGACAAGCGAGAGCAAAGCAGCTCTTCTCTCTCGTACGTGTAGGCCTACTCCGAGTGGAAGGCACTTACTTTACTCTGTGGTCTGAGCAAACAGCTGTCCTCTTCCCGCGTCATTTTACGCCGATCCCGAAAAAAACTGCACTGCGACCACGAGTCGAGTACTAGAAAAATGCCGGTATGGATCATAAACATAAACAAATTACGTTTTTGGCCCGAAAATAAACATTATTTAACATTGCTTAAATGGAACTGCCAAATCATATGTTCAATGCTCAGTATAGGATTCGGGCCAACAACGTAATTTGTTTATGTTTGTGATCCATACCGGTATTTTTCTAGTATTCGTGACTGCGACTACATCCGACATCGGTCGGTGTCACGATGTCGTCTGTGGTAAACAACTAGTGAAGATAATTTAATATTATTCATATTTGTTATAATATTTAATTATTGCTCACACTATAACTATTTCACTTTAAGTCACATTTAATTTTATCAATATCAACTCAACTCTCTTGTAAATGGCGTTTGCCGTGCATGTAATAAATAAATAAAGAGTGTGAGCTGCCAGTGCCAATTAAAATGTGTCTCTCTTTAGTGGGTGTCAGATTTGTGTCTCTGTGTCGAAAGCTTCAATTTATTTTTATATTCTTTACCTACACAGGAAACATGAACGAAAGCAGTATTGTAGAATCACTACTTTTACAAAATTTAAATATATTTAGTGACAGTGTATTTATTTGTTAACTTAACCATTACACAGTAAAGGTTAAACAGTAAACAGTATTTTAATATGTGGCTACAGCCTATTAATTAACTATTTCAATATGCACTATGGCACTAATTTTGTCAACTTTCCTATTTTACTTACAGATAGCCAGCCTAAAATACCTTCTTAGTTCTCTCTAGGCTATTTCGTTTGTAGAAATAGGTTAGGTAGGCCTACTTTAGGGTTACAGTACAGTTTTGACTTAATGTAATGCTAAAAAGTTCAAGTCAATAAATTGGTTTTGTTCACAGTGAAAGCATATTGTTTGTGTTATAATAATTTCATATAAATCTAAAATATATAACTTCTGTTATTTACAGTGCCAAAAAATACAACAGTTGCAAGTTCATGCTGTAAACAGGAAGCAAATGATTTATATTGTATGCATGCAGCCAAGCCATGCAAGGGAAAACAAAGAAAATACACAAATATAATACGAAAGAACCTAAGAAAATCATTTGTATTTTTATTTTTGTTAGGATATTTACTGTCAGAATAGCACCAAGTCGTGTGGGTAAATAGTCTAAATTTTGTAAACCAAACATTAACCAATAGTGTCAGTTATCAGATTTCTGATTTTCCACTGTTAATGCCTCTAGATTGCCTAAAAATGCGAGTTTACAGGTATAATTTTTAAAAAATGGCCCGGGGGAGGACCCCCGGACCCCCCTCTGTACAGGGGGGTATTCCATACCCCCCAGACCCCCCGGTTGGCGCCTTCGGGCTGGTCAAGGTTTACGCCCTAATAGAGTACCCAGTCCGCCCCTGCCGTCTTCTATCGTGACGTCATGCTAGACGAGCATTACGGCCTCTCAAAAGGCAGAGTTTAACGAGACAAATAATAACTTGTGTTGATTGTCTTAAATTTACCCATGTCCGAATTATGTATGTAAAAACAAATTCAATTATAATTACGGATTTTGGTAAATAATAAAGACAACACAGACATTAAACATATACGTTTATTAGGTAGTTCTTAAAATCCATTAACTCTTAAAATTCACTCGGCACACATTGAAAATTGAGGTTGAAAATTAACATAGTTAATTATTTTGCAGAATAAATTTATACATGTAAGTTTGCAAAACAAAATAAATTTATGTCGGTTTAGTAATATCAAAAATACAACTTAGATATGAACAAACAAATGACAATAATATATTTTGATAAACAACATTAGTTACATTAGGCCTACTAGAGACAGTATTTACATACGATACGGACTTTGTTTTCTTGTTTGGTATGCGTCATTACAAAGGAACGTAATATGTTCATCAGTTTTCGTGCAAATTATTTGCAATGCCATGCCAATACCAGCTGTCCTGACCTCTCGACATTCCTAAAGTAGGCCTACATAGCTATGATGATAAAATTCTGCCCTTGTTTATATTGATATGCAAAAACACATACCAGAAGTTACAGTACATAGCTATGACATCATTCTGCCCTTGTTTATATTGATATGCAAAAACACATACCAGAAGTTACAGTACATAGCTATGACATCACTCTGCCCTTGTTTATATTGATATGCAATAAACATGCCAGAAGTTAAGACAGTCCATCTCCCCTTACACGACTTACATTCCAGGGAATGCCTAATCCATACCAACAGGCCTAGCCTCTCCACATTCCTACAGTATATAACTATGACTCAACTCCTGACCTTGTTTTACCGAATTTCCCATATAGGGAATAAGCTATTACCGTAGTACTCACGGTAAGACCTGGACCCGGGACCGATTTTTTTTTTGTTTTGATGTCCCTAGAGGTCAAAAACACCATCCGTTCAAATTTATATATATATATATTTATATATATATATATTTATATATATATATATATTTATATATATATATAAATGTGTGTGTGTCCGTTAGCGCGATAACTCGAGCAAAAATGATCCGATTTTGATGAAATTTGGTACAAACGTGTAAACCTACGTTGATTCAAACGAGTTCGCGAACCAGCATGATCGGACCATGGGAACGGGGGCTTATGGGGGCTTTTATGGGGTAAAAATGGGTTTTTCTCATTTTTGACCCAAAAAACATAAAATTTTGCAATTTCTTTCGAAACTAAATTGTAGAGCTTAAAAAAACAAATAATTTAGTATATTGAAGCGTAATAATGCGCCTAATGGTTACGGAGAAAATTCCAAAAAATTGTAAATTTAAAATTCCCATGTTATTCTTATGGATAATAAGTAAACTGTTGTAGTTTGCTTGTTTATAAACATATTTTGCCCAAATTTGGAAAATGTTTTTATTTCTTACTAACTATTAACATCTATCTATCTATCTATACTATTATAAAAAAGAGGTGGTGTCTGTGTGTGTGTATGTATGGGAAAAGTAAACGCGAAAACTACTGGTCGGATCGGGCTGAAATTCGGCATGATGATAGCTCATATTCCCGATTAACATATAGGCATATTTTTATCCCAAAAATCCTTCCGGGCTCCGCCCCAGTGGCTCTGGAGTTTCCCATGTTAACCTTATGAGAAATGGAATTAATGAATCTTAACAGCTGTTTCAATTAAACAAGTTGGTTCTGTTCTATGATGTTCAATAGCTTTAAAGTTACAAGGATTACCAACAGGGTGCAGCACTAGCACTATTATTTCTTTTACATTTATGACAACAGCTAATTTGCAACCAAAAGGTGAGTGAGCGTAGCGAACGAACTTCAACCTGGAGGCGAGTGAGCGTAGCGAACGAGCTAACCTGAAGGCAAGTGAGCAAAGCGAACGAGCTAACCTGAAGGAAAGTGAGCGCAGCGAACGAGCTCCAACCTAAAGGTGAGTGAGCGTAGCGAACGAACTTCAACCAGGACGTGATTGAGCCATGCAAACGAGATCATCTTGAAAATTAAGAAGTTAAACGGGGCAAAGCCCGCGGGTTACAGCTAGTTATACATAAAAAACACTTTTACCCTCCCTGTTGCAGCAAACCTAAGTATGTTTTTGTTTTAAACTGATTCTATTTAAATAGGGAATAAATGTGATATTTTTAAGGAGACATTTTAGTGTAAATCCATTCAGGGAAATGGAAATTCGCTTAGTCTGCAGGTTTGCTGCGGCGGGGGTATTTTTTTATTTGTTAGTCTTGTGTGATATAATTAAAATAATTGAATAAGAATAAAAAAGGCTTTAAGACGTTTTCAGGCTTCCTGAGCACCAGCTGGATTGCCGTTCAATGTTAGGAAGATTTGTAGTTTTTGGAATGGGTTGGAAAAATAACTTGTAGGCCTACTACTACACATTTATTTTAAATGCTATAATCGCTGAAAATAGGTACTGTATCACCAGATAATATCAGAATCAAATAAATCTTAACACTAGGTTGGATGGAAGTCAGTTACAGTTCAGCACAATGTAGTCTGCTTCCGGCAACCGGCGGCGTCTGCTTCCGGCAACCGGCGGCGTCGGCTTCCCGCGTAGGCCTATTCATGGTGGTAGGTAGTGTACATCCAACTTACCTTCTGCTTCTTCCGAACCATCGCCACTCGCCAGTTAACCGTAAATTTTGGTTTACTATAAAATCAATCAAGAAAGTATTGCAAAACGGTTTATAACTATTAAAATTACTCTAAAAAAACTGTAATAACGATATCAATTAAATTCACGGAATAATACGATTTTCACGCATATTTCCCGGTTGTTAAAATTCACGCATAATTCCCGATTTTCCCGGAATTCCCGGCCGCTGACAACCCTGTTGGATGCTAACTCAAGGTTTTGTGATAACTTTCCCAGATTTTTTGTGAGCTTGTGGTAGATTTTTAAGAGAATTAAATAAAAGGTATACTTGAAACATACTAAAGTATTAAAAACAACCTGTTGTCGTCTGCAAGAAGTTGCGGGAAAATATGTATATATCCCTTAAATAGGTCTTAACACAGACAGGTACAGCTTAAACCTGCTTGCATTATGGCCACCTCATCGGAGTCAGACATTCGGCGCCGAAAATCTGATTCTGACTTCCTGCTTATACCAGCGTGCATGGTGGGGGCGTACCCCAAAACTGATGGCCATCTGCCCTCTCTCAAGCACATAAATGTTCATCCTCAAACATTCGTTATCTGGCAATGCATTTCAAGTAGGTTTGATCCCTTTAACAGCAAAAATGTTATCACTTAAGCTATTCATCCTTGGCTCAAGTGTAAATTTTCCCTGCCATTGTTAAAAGCTTTTATGGCGTGTTTTATGGAGTGTCTTGTAGAGATGGGGACAGGCTAATTTGGAGGAGGAAGTAAAAACCAAGCGCTAGAGATTGAAACTAGCTTACCCTGGTCCTGGTGCATTAGGAGCTTGTTGAAGATCTTTAAGTTGCAAAACGGCCCTTGAAACATTTTAATAGATGTTTTGAGGTAACAAAAACAGGTTATGTAAATGTAATGTCATCAAAGTATTCAGTAAGGTATAAAAGATTCTATCGTATATTTATTTTAGGCTATAGTTAAGTAAAAATTATAAATCCATACGAGCCATCAATCAAAGTACTGGATGACATTGACAAATTTACTTTCTACTAAAAATGTTAAGACAAAACACTCAAGAATTATTACCTTTTGTATAAACTTCTCCACACTTTGTACAACATGCTTGTAGAATTTGATTGCTTTCATGGCTGTCCGAGTTATTGAAATCATCTTGGCCTTCGATATCGGAGGCTTTGTCTCGTAAAGAGACGAAAGCTGAAAACATATAAATTGCATCAATGTTTATTGTTTGACTTAGTCATAGTCATAGTCATAGTCATATAATCTTTATTCAGGAGTACAACATGTTGCACCAGAATGGCGTTATACAATTAAATTTTATTGTTAAAAATAACCATAACTTATATAAAAAGGCTAAACAAAAATACAAAAGCTTATAACTTACAAATTTACAACACTTTCAACCAAAAAATTCATCTAAGGAATAAATGGGCTTGGATAACATAAAAGTTTTTAGCCGTTTTTTAAATTTACTTTTGTCTGTTATTCGTAAAATATTATCTGGTAGAAGGTTATAAAATTTTATCCCAGCATATGAAGGTTTATTTTCAAAAAATTTTAAGTTGCGATTTCAAAAACTGATTTTGTGTCTGTGCCTTTGTCCCATAGCTGTGGTATGAACCCAAAGTCTCAAATTTTGGTAAATTATTCTTTACAAACAAGATCAAATCAAAGATATATTGGGCAAAAACAGTAAGAATACCAAGTTTGGAAAATTGTTCTTTAACTGAGGTTCTCCAATCTTGAATGTTTAACATGATACGAAGTGCTTCTTTTTGAAATAGGCCTAATAATATTTGTTCCAAATTTTCATGAGAGGTTGCTCCATATAAAATTATGCCAAAGGAGATGTGGGAGTGAATAATACACCCGCCGCAGCAAACCTGCAGACTAAGCGAATTTCCATTTCCCTGAATGGATTTACACTGAAATGTCTCCTTAAAAATATCACAGTTATTCCCTATTTAAATAGAATCAGTTTAAAACATACTTAGGTTTGCTGCAACAGGGAGGGTAAAAGTGTTTTTTATGTATAATGTTAATAGTTAGTAAGAAATAAAAACATTTTCCAAATTTGGGTAAAATAAGTTAATAAACAAGCAAACTACAACAGTTTACTTATTCTCCATAAGAATAACATGGGAATTTTAAATTTACAATTTTTTTGAATTTTCTCCGTAACCATTAGGCGCATTATAACGCTTCAATATACTAAATTATTTGTTTTTTTAAGCTCTACAAAATAGTTTGGAAAGAAATTGCAAAATTGTATGTCTTTTGGGTCAAAAATGGGAAAAACCCATTTTTACCCCATAAAAGCCCACATAAACCCCCGTTCCCATGGTCCGATCATGCTGGTTCGCGAACTCGTTCGAATAAACGTAGGTTTACACGTTAGTACCAAATTTCATCAAAATCGGATCATTTTTGCTTGAGTTATCGTGCTAACGGACACATATATATATATAAATATATATATATATATATATATATATATATATATGAATTTGAACGGATGGTGTTTTTGGCCTCTAGGGACCTCAAAACGAAAAAAAAAAATCGGTCCCGGGTCCAGGTCTTACCATGAGTACTACGGTAATAGCTTATTCCCTATATGGGAAATTCGCTAAAAGCAAAGTAAATTATTTTTAATGTTTCCAAAGGACATAATTTAGAAATTTTTCTCAGAGCAAAAATCCCTGATGAAATTTTACGGCCAAGATGTTCAATATGAAGGTTCCAATTCAAATTTTTGTCAAGTACAAGTCCTAGGAATTTAAAATTTTGCAGTTCTTCTAGACATTTTCCTTCCATCAAAATTCTGTGTTGAGCTGGTTTATTACTTTGATATGTTGAGAAAGATATGCAATTTGTCTTATTTATATTAACTAAAGGTTTAAATTGTTTAAAAAAGTATTTACGTGTGGAAATTGGTTATTTGCTATTGACTCTACTTTTTGATGGGTATTACCAGATACAAGTAAGCTAATGTCATCAGCATATAAACAGACTTTAGCATCATCTAATACATCTGGTAAACCCTTTGTATAACATATGAACAACAGTGGTCCCAGGATTGATCCTTGTGGCACTCTATATTTTAAAAATTCCAATGATGAAGTAAAATTTACCTTATTGTTGTTTGTGACATTAGTTATTTCTACATATTGTTGTCTGTTATTTAAATACGATTTAAACCAATCTAAAGCTCTTCCCTTGATACCCAAACAAAACAGGATATTTACCAGCTTGGAGTGTGACACACTATCAAAAGCCTTGCTGAGGTCCATAAAGACCCCAGTAACATTATTTCTCTTATCCACCGAATCTATTACTGATTCAATGAACTGAACACTAGCACTAATCACAGACTTGCCGGATTGAAATCCATGTTGTTCTTTATCTATCAAGTTGTTGGTTTCCAGAAATTCTGTTAGTTTTATACACATAGCTTTTTCATAGATCTTAGAAAAGGATGGTAGTAAAGATATAGGTCTATAGTTTGAAGGTATCAAATCAAATCAAATCAAATCAAATCATCTTTATTCAAACTGTACATACATACATGAATAGAGTCACAGAAATAAGAACTAACAAGTACATTATGTTTCTTATTTTAACATTATTTTATTTACATACATTGCTAAATCTATGCAATACAATCCTTTATTAATGCTGTGTATTTATGAATGTAGTTAAAACATTTTTTACTCTTTTGGTTAGTTAGTCCTACATAACAAAAGACTAAAGACAAATTTATTAAATTCGCTCACCAGTCACTAGATCTTGCAATTTGTATTTTTTTCTTCTTTATCATTGAAATCGTTTTTGTAAATATATACCTACAACCAGCTCTAGTTTGCTGGTAGCAAATAAGCTTGATTATAGGATGGATTAATAGAGCTATAAAAAGAAATCTTCTATAGAATAACAACACAAGGAGGTAATTTAATAACAACACTATACCGGAAATTTCAGGTATAGCGGGATCTCCCTTTTTAAAGACTGGTTTAATCTTAGAAATCTTTAATTTGTCAGGAAAAATACCTGTAATAAAAGAAGAGTTGACAAGATGACATAACGGATATTTTAGATAGTCAATTGCTGTTTTAATAATAGGCATGGGGATCTCATCATAACCACAAGAAAATTTATTTTTAATAGACAAAACTATTGATTTGATTTCTTCTAATGATAGTGGTTGAGGAAGAAAACTTTTATTTGAGCGGCTCAAAAGGGGTGTTTGGATACTTGTAGCTTTGTTGGGTATGTTTGGGATGACTTCTGTTTCAACCATGTTGGCATAGTACTGGTTTAGGAGTGCACTTACCAACCTGGGATCACTGACGTCTCTGTTTCTATGCTTTAAAGTAATGTTTTGTTGGCGGATTGAACTGCTGCCTACCTCTTTATTTATAATATCCCATGTTGTCTTGCAAACATTGTCTGCATTGCGTATCTTATCACTAAAAAAGTTAGTTTTAGCTCCAAGAATTTGGGATTTTAATTCAGTTTTTTTGTTTTTCAAGGCCAATTTAACATTTTTGTCCCTGGTAAGCCGATTTAAATTACTTAGTCTGTTGATTTCCTGTTTACTCTGAACAATGTGTTGGTTCATCCAGCCTGTTTTTTTGGAAGTCTGTCTGCATTTTACCATAGGAAAACATAAGTTAAAATAATACATGAAAACATTGATGAACACATCATACTTATCATTTACAGGAGCGTTATAGACATGCCATACATCATGTTAATTTTCATGAGAAATTAAATGCTTAAATTAAACTGAAATTAAACTTATTACCTAACTTGTTTATAGATGGATATAAGTAGTCATGGATGGATAAGGACGTTTGGTACTGAGAACATTTAGGTTATCTATTATGACACTAGGTCCCCCCCCCTTGATTATTGAGTTTTTTTACGGTCCCGGTTAAAAAACAAGAGGATTTCAATAAGAAATAAAGCTACATAGCCAAATTGTTTCACTCCCTTAAATACTCATCTAGCATTCATATTCGGTTAAAATATCAAATTAAATTAAGGCCTATTTAAAGCTAAATAAAATGCAAATAATGCCTAGTTGACTATAGAACGTGCGACGTGTTACGTTACCTATATTATGAAATAAGAGTTTTGGCGGTTTGTGATTTTTTTTATATACAAACATTGACGTACCTGCTGTATATTTTAAAATTTGGGTTATGTTTATGTTAAATTAATCATTAATAGTAAGTTTATTTTTTTATTTTTTCATACTACATATTGAATGTACACATCTATAGATACTATAGTATGAGTAACGTTTGCGCACAATGATTTCAAAAACGGCTCCTAGGATTTCCTCTAAATTGTTAGGAATATCTTAGTTTCAGGCTAAAAAAAATATCCATGCTAGCCACGGTTCTGGGAAATTTAGTTTTTTGGTAAAAAATGTAAATGAAATTTTAATATTTTTTACATTGGTCTTATGGTAAGCTAGGGTAGCCAAGACAGCTTTTATGAAAATGTATATAAATGCATTGTAACATATGTTCATCACAAATCATGTAAAGTACAGTGGCAAATTACTAAATCTATACAGACTGTCCCAAAAGACCGGTTTAATATTTTCTAAACGACAACAGATAAATCAATAAGATTTTGCACATTAACACCACACTTAAAAATCTACTTTTTTAAGGAACTATCAATTTTCTGTCATATCATGGGGACATCCCACAAGGAGTCAGAAGGAAATCTTAAATAGAAGCATAGGTTGACATGCACATCAAATTAAAGGTCTTCACTAGTAGATTACAATGCCGTAAATTCAAGCTCAAAAGAACGCCTGAGTAAAAAATGGCAGTCGTTCAAAGATTCAAAATGGCAGGTTCAAGAAATCTTTGAACGGCTGCCATTTTTAACTCAGACGTTCTTTTGAGCATGAATTTACGGCATTGTAATCTAATAGTGAAGACCTTTAATTTGATGTGCATATCGACCTATGCTTACGTTAACAATTTTTTTTCCGATTCCTAGGGCTGTGCCCCCAAATGCAAATTAATGAATCTTTGAACCACTGTCATTCTTGACTTGGTAGTCCATTTGAGTTCAAATTTGCGGCATTATAATCTGCTAGTAAAGACCTTTAATTTTATGTACATATCAACCTATGCTTCTATTTAAGATTTCCTTCTGACTCCATGCGGGAC